TTTCATGTTGCACGATATTAGAGCAACTCTATCAAACCCAACAATGTTGTAAAAATGCACTTGAGTTAAATTTAGTGCCCCAAAACACAATGGAATACCTTCTTCTTCTTTTTTTTTTTTTTGGTGAAATATAAAAAAACAGGTTATGGCGAGTAAATAGATACCCAACATGCTCAGGTTAAAAATTGTGTGTGTCTGTAAAAAGACTTGCTACACTTTCCACGTCTTATACATTTTTAAAATGCTCTATTTTACAGTACATTGTATGTTACTGCCTGACATACTAATATTTTAAGTTTTGAAGGACTTATAGTTTTCCATTTATATTTTACCTCAATAAACCTATAATTATTATTTTTATGAGGCAGTGATGAAGCTCAAGAGGCATATCAATTCTACCAATGAATTTCTCACTGAAGTCTGTTAAAGTTTAACATTAACACAAGGCCCCATTGAATTGTACAGAGCAGTTTTGTAGCTGAATTGTACATCTCATAGTGTGGCTTTGAAATGATACTGATATATCCATAGGAGTGTATGTATAATATTCCTCAGGAACAAGTATGGCTTTGAGGAGCAAGTACTTGGCTAACCTTTGTACATAAAACAAGGTTTTGTATATAGTCCTTCAGCAGGTTTCCTTTTTCAGTATATACAATACATGGATGCTCTGGGCTAAAAAATATCCAGTTTTAGTTACAATAATACCTAGGATGGCTAATTAAACCGCTGAACTCAAAGCAGGTACAAAAGAAAAAAAATAATGAATGTGGTTGTGTTTCAAATCATTAAATGAAAGTAATGTAAATACGTGAAATTGACCTGTGTAAAGCAGAAGCACTGGGAGAGGGAAGTACAGTGCTTTAATGGCCTGTTCACACCATATGCAGTCCCTTTATTTCAACTGCGCAGTTAAAATGCATCCCAATGCTTTTCTATGGGCTTTCTTGTGCCTAATTCACACCATTGCAGTCGATTCAACTGCAGTCAGAAAAAGTACTGCTTGTCCTACTTTAACTGCATTAAATCGCATCAAACGCAGTGCAAAAGCATTGCAAACGCATCAAAAGCAACAGAACACACACACACAGAAAAAAGAATGGCTAAAGTCAAAACTAGCACCATGCCAGCCAACAAAGAAAGCATGACTGAACTCCTAAACGAACGCATTGCAAACGCATCAAAACGCAGCACAGTGCAGCTGCGCAGATGCACACAGTTGTGATGCAGTTTCTGGTGTGAACTAACCCTAAACCAATCCGGTCATGAATATATGGTGACGGAAGGCGAGAGCAGAGAGACTAGGGGGCAAAGCATCAATCTGCTTTTGCGCCTTCATTTTCGAGTCAGACTAGGGGCAGGGAGGTGACCAAGCTGTGTTGATCAAATCCAAAAACACAGGTCACCAACCTGACTGTTTGTTGTCGTCCTGGAAGGGCTGAGTAAATGTGAAAACCAAATGGATAGAAATTATTTTACATGATTTATAGAGCACCAACAGCTTGCGCAGCGCTTTACAAAATTGAGGGAGACAATACAATGAACATTACAATTTCAGTACAGGAGATAGGAGAGCCCTAAAAAAATAAAAAAATATTCCTTTGGCATATAAAACAGCCCCTGCATATATGTTTGAATCGGGTGGAGAAATTTAGTACGGAATCCAGGAGCCAGTCTGTCCAATCAATGAACCAGCTCCATTGACAACTAGTGGAACCTCAAATGCTAGGTGCCAGCTGTAATTTTAAGGCCCGGGGCAGACCTCTTCGTCCTGGGATCGCGTGGTCCTGGTGTCGCCTAGGTGTGCACCGACCCTTAAGGAGCGTTGGCTACCTGACTCCTGGGATTTGTCCAGTGTTGATTTAACTACATTGAGCACTTTGCTTTGTCAACACTTGTTCATGTAGCTGACTTTGACCCTCCCTTTCCTAGTCTTCTACTAATGTGCCAGAAAGTTTCAGGTTCTTACACCAGTTGTGTTTAAAATACGTTTAATTCCTTTTAACTGGCACACAACTGCATTGATTGGCTTTAAAGGTGCTGTAATTAAAGAAGTAATTAAAAAGGTAGTATTGTCTAGCCATTTTCTTCATTATCGTCCTTTTTTTCTTAGTGGTGGGAGAAAATGATTACACCAATGTATTTTTGTGATTCCAAGCAACATTTCAGTCCAATCATATTGGCACGTGATGAAAATGGTTAGGTTGGAATCAAGATAAGGAATCCAAAATTTTGAAGCACAGGGTTATCCAGATGTTCTAGATTGCAGCTTTAAAAGAAACAATTCATGCAGTTCTATAACTACTAAAGCTTTAAATGAAGCCGAACTAAGAGGAATGAGAAATCTGTCATTGGTTAGCTGTCCTTATGGAAATACCAGTTGCATGGCAGTTCTCCTGATCTAAAAGCTTCATTACATTCAAAGTCGCCAACCTGGAACAAGTATGCATAGAAGGATATCTGACTTCACTTTGGCTTGTTGAGTTGCTGCATATGTGTTTTCAGTCAGTGACTAATCACTCATCCCCATACTCCGAACCGATGTGTGACACCTGCAGCTGTCACACTTCGACACTATTGGGGCACAGCTGGCTCTGGTTCTACAGAGGCAGAACCATCTGTCAATCAGGCAGCGGGGTAGATCCTCCTCGGCTGTACCGCGGCACTGGGCTGTCAGCATATAGTGGGCTATAATGTAGCTTTGGGTCACAGAAGGAGTAAATGTCTTTCTGTGACCCTAAAGAGAACTATGGCCAATAAATGTTTGGCCATAGTTCTCTTTTAATCGCAGGTTTTCTTTGCATGTATTTTTAAACACAACTAATAATATCATAAAAATAGCATTTCAGTCAGTATTTTTTGTGTCTACACTCGAATCCAGTTATATTTAGAATGTGTCCTTATACAGTCCATGAATCACCACGGTGCATCAGTTAGTTCACAATAATTTTCCACGTCACAATAAAATAATTTCTACACCAAAGAATACATGGATGATGTTGTCAGTCTCTCATTGGGCAGCCAGGAGGTTTGAAGTAAGCTGTGCTACTGCTACAGTGTAGATTAAGGATCTGGCTGGGGTGCATGTATACAAAACTTTCTGAACAAATGACAAATGCTTTGGCAGGTAAAACTCTTCTAATATATCTACGTCTTTTAAGGGCATGTGTACATATACAGTGAGGAACATAATCATTTGATCCCCTGCAGATTTTGTAGGTTTGCCCACTTACAAAGAAATGAAAGGTCTATAATTGTTATCATAGGAGTATTTGAGATGATGGAGACAGAATATCAACCAAAAATCCAGATAAAACACATGATACAAATGTTATAATTTGAGTTGCAGTCCAGTGAGTAAAATAAGTATTTGGTCCCCTTACCAACCAACGATAACCGTATATAAAAGACACTTGTCCACAGAATCTCTTTCTTTCATTTAAACGTCACCACCATGGGCAAGACCAAAGAGCTAAGGACGTTAGGGACAAGATTGTAGACCTGCACAAGGCTGGAATGGGCTACAAGACTATCAGCAAGAAGCTTGGTGAGAAGGAAACGACCGTTAGAGCGATTATTCGCAAATGGAAGGAATACAAAATAACCATCGATTGCCCTCGGTCTGGAGCTCCATGCAGGATTTTGCCTCATGGGGTAAGGAAGATCATGAGACAAGTGGGGGATCAGCCCAGAACTACACAGGAGGATCTTGTGAATGATCTCAAGGCAGTTGGGACCACAGTCACCAAACAAGCCTTTGGTAACACAATACACCGCCATGCATTGAGAAGGAGGCTGACTTTGCTGCATTTAGGGGCCAATGGACGGGGCCATGTATTGTAAAATCTTGGATGAGAACCTCCTTCCCTCAGCCAGAATACTGAAGATGGGTCGTGGATGGGTCTTTCAGCATGACAATGACGCAAAACAACCCAGGCAACAAAGCAGTGGCTCAAGAAGAAGCACATTAAGTTCATGGAGTGGTTTAGCCAGTCTCCAGACCTTAATCCTACAGAAAATGTATGGAGGGAGCTGAAACTTCGAGTTGCAAAGCTACAGCCAAGAAATCTTAAGGATTTAGAGAAGATCTGTAAAAAAGAGTGGACCAAAATCCCTCCTGAGATGTGTGTCTTACCTCTGTGCTTTCCAACAAGCGTTTCTCCACCAAGTACTAAGTCATGTTTTGCTTGGGGATCAAATACTTATTTTACTCACTGAACTTCAACTCAATTTATAACATTTCAAATACAAAATGATAGACCTTTTAAATTGTTTGTAAGTGGGCTGACTTACAAAATCTGCAGGGGATCAAATAATTATTTTCCACACTGTATGTTAGGATGTGCGTGATGTTAATACTTGGCTTCTTTATTTTGTTTGCAGGATCCTTGTGTCATTTCACATACACTGCACTCGATATAGGGCTAATGTTATTTGTATAAAAAAAGTTTAAAAAACGTAAAAGCACGATGCTCAGACGCCTGTACACTACCATTTGCTAAACAGGAATTAGCCAAATAATCTTCTGTATTAAGAAGACAACTTGTGGTAGACGACCTTCATAGTTTATATGTGGTAAACTACTGTTCAGTGCATATCTGTGTTAATCTGATTTTATATCTAATTGTATTTAAGTAAATAAAACATGGACTTGTGGACAGTGCAACAAAGAACTGAGCATGCTATTCAGTACCTGGATCATTTAAAAAGGACATAAGATGATGAGGGATGAATGTGTGTTTCATAGAGCTGAACATCTTTAGCAACTCGAGCAGAAATTTCTCAGCATGCGTGAAAGTTCGGTTGGTAAAATATTTTGCACATTTAGCAACTGTCCCATGTACAAACATCAGCAGAAAAAAAAAAAATCAAAGGAATACATTGACATTGCATGTATGGCCAACACTAATTACACATAATATGTTATCTCATTACTGATCAGATAGTTTCTGCATGACAAGGAATTCAGCATACAAGAGTAATTTCTTTTCTGGTTTTAGGTGTGTTCTTCTCCCTTTGCTGGCCATGAATTCGCCTACTCAGAGTCTTTTGATGGTTGTCGATTCAGTTGATGAAGGGTGCAACGTAACTGAAGGAGAACACAGACCATCTGGATTATCTGGAACCATAGCAGATCTTTTAGCGAGTCATCACGAATTCTTTCCTCCCTGGCTTCTTCTAATATGTTCAGCCCGCAAGCAGAGCAGAACAGTCACTAAAATGTTTACAGGTTTGTGTTAAAACCTTTTTTAAGCATCTATGTGGAAAATACTGTTGTGCATTTTCTTCATTGACTTTTTGATGCCCCTCTCTCGTCTGTTTCTATGGGTGATTTGTGTACAGGGTGGGGCACCCTATATGTATAGTAATGGCTACATCTAACTTGATTATAAATTCAGGTCATGCACAGTGCGGCTCATGGGTAGGAAGCAATTTTATGCAGAGAATTCTGAAGACTTTTTTTTTTTTTTGTTATTATATGTTAAAGAGACTCTCTGAAGTGAACTCGCACACACAAACCTAATGGCATACTTGTATGGCTGGTTTGGGTTTCTACCCTTCGTCCAGGTATATAATGAATACGCTTCTTATAATCCCCAAATAGAAAATCGTCTGTGGGTCATCATATTATTTTCCTAATTTCCAATGACCGCCCTCCTTGGTTAGGATGTGTTCTTCCAATCCTCTGCATTGCTTAGGGGTTTTCTGTCTGTGCATTACTTCACAACATGGTTCTGCTGCTCATATGGGGGGTCCCATAGGAAGTTTCCATCGAATGATACCCTGCTCCGATCAGTCTCCACACAAATCCAGGGTGGTGGAGAACATAGCCCAGTTTAAATGTCCAATGGCCAGACAGGAGAGCTGACTCATGCTTCCAGTGCTGAGATTTATAAAGTAGGAGCTAAACTTGTTTGAAGAAGCCTGTAATAAGAAAGGGGCTGCTATTTTGTGCAGCGTCTTCTAAATATGCAAGTTGCTGTCATGAGTTAGTGGCCTCAACACTTTAAAGTACAGACCTGGAATTCATATGCAGCTTTGACTTCACTTACTGCATACGTGTGCTAGCATTTTTAGACGAGAGTCAGCCATGACAGCCCTTGTATTTCTCTCATTACAGGCTTCCCTAGAGTTTCAGTTGGTCACAGGTCATGTTTGCTGATGCACAAGAACATTAGAATTTTGGTTTTCTCTCTAGAAAATAAAAGTACAAAGGTGTCATTTTCCTTTTAAGCTGGGCAGCTCAAATGTTTTCTTTATATCCTCCCATGCTGTTAACAGATGACTATGTGCCTCAGCTAAATATTAAATAATATTATTTTACTTTACATTTATGTTGTAACATGAATTGACTAAATATTTGCTAAGCGCTGAAATGAATGGTGCATGAATTTGGATAGCAGGTCTGTCTAAAGGTGCCCGTACACTTTACAACCCTTGCAAGACTTTTGTCTTGCGAGGGTTGTAAAGTAATTAAAAAAACATACGATCTGCCCATCTTGGACAGGCAGATCACACCTGCAATCATCGCAAGCCCGCCCCCCTGAGGGGCGGGCTTCCGATGACTGCAATGCTGAACGGGTAGCCACTGCTTCAGCAGGACCCTTTTTTCGGCGGATTTTGCGCAATTTTTCTATTTGTCAATGGAACCCGATGGTAAAGGTCGCGCTATCGTCGCTGGACGTCGCCCCGAACAGTCGTGCTATTCCGGCCGCGCGGATCCGCCGCTATAGGTAAGTCGCTTAGTGTGAATGGGGCCTTAAGTGTAGATGGAGGAATCTGTTGCACCTTTTCCATCTGACCACCGAAAATCTGCAGATAAATTGTAAGGTGTATGGCCAGCTTAAAGCTGGGAACACCGTTCGAAATGGGATCCACTGGTGACCCTATTCCCTCGACAGAAGCTGATCATTAGATCGACTTTTTGCCAAAGGCTGAATGGTGGCTGGACAGTGCTTGCAGCAAATCAGTTTCAAGCACAATTCAGGTGTTTTGGCAGTAGCTGGCGCCAATGTCCGGACACAATGCTCGCAGTGGGAGATTCTTACATCCATGACGGAGAAATCTGTTATATTTTTTTTTTATTTTTTTTTAAACATGTTTTCTTTATTTTGAATTTTGCATAGAATTGTACATAGTATAATGCAGAACATCCAAAAAGGTGTACAATATAGATGAAACTGTAGCAAACTATGTATGGATATTCACCCAATCAAATCAAAACTCATGTACCCGGATAACAGTCCGGTATGCATTCTAATATTACATAACAGTACACTGACTTTGCCTATGTCTCGACCTAGCCTGTTTATTCAACTCGTAGGTGAACTAGGTCCATGTGCAATAATCTTGCATATCCACTGCGGGACTTCGCAAGTATAACCTTGGTGGTCAGTAGGACAACACGAAGTGTAAGATAAGAGAAAGAAGAGAATCAGAAGGTAGAGAGGTGGGGGGGGGGTTGAGAGCGACAGCCTCGGAACTCACGTAGCTTAGGTGCCTACGATAATCTGTTATATTTTTTTTTGTTTTCTTTGCTCAGCTGGCAGGTTAAAGGAAACAAATGATATGGGTGTATACTCTCTTATGCTTTTATTAGGAAAACCAATGCAGCCACCACCTCTAAGGACTGGTAATCTGCAATATATAACATTTATTATATTCGGTTACATTTTTGCTCTTGGATTTAGAGACACTTGTGTAGAACAGCCTAAGGCTCCATTCACACTGGAGCGGCTGTCCGCGCGTATTCAGCTGTAATGGATACGAGCTGAGCCGCTCCTAAACTTTAATGTGCATCGTGCAGACTATTGCAGGGACCCCCAAAATAGTACAAGCACGATAATCCAGTGGATTCAGCACGTTCGCGGTTATTTAATAGCCGCAAATGAGCGGCATCTGTGCAGATTAACATTTTTTTGCGTTTTTGTCCCGCACAGAAAACCGAGCGGGAGACGCAAGTGCTATATGTGAATGGAGCCTTCTATAAGAGCTATATTGCTGGATTTCAAAAGCAACATACTGCAATGTAGAACTTGGGGATTTAAAAAATGTCAATGTTACGAAGTCCTTTAGGATTATGGGATAAAAACCTAGGAAAACTTCATGATTAAAGTTGTAGTCCGAACTATACCAAGGACCATAGCGTTACAAATCAGCAATTCAAAGCACAGCCACACCAATCGCAGAGTTCCTCAGACTTTGTTAAAAGCTGGAAAACTTTAGAAACATGCCCCCATCACTAGATTGAGATGCTCCAGGTCTGTTGTTTCTGTTACTTGTTCAGGTCTGTTTATAACACATGTTTTCACTTTAACAAAACAATGGCTAGAATATAGCATAATCTCTGGTAAACATGCTAAAACAGATTTTAAACATTGGCTTTTATCATTTTCTTTTCTTGTTTTTAGTGTCAGCTGTTTTCCTCTGTCTTCATTTCACTGACAGTCCAGCCTGCAAGAAAACGGATAATTTATGTTTTCTGCAGAGCTATGCTAACTATGTACGTTTAACAAAGCAGCCCCAGAGTTCAGTGAAAGACCCTTTGCTGTTTGTCAAATTGCCTGCGGCTCTGCTTTGCTGGTTACTTTCTGCAGTGGCCAAAGGTCACTGTGCTGATTATGTGAGGGAATGAAAGTGCTGAAAGTAGTCATAAAGCTAACATGTGCATAGTAAACTCTGTGAGCAGATAAGGAGTCAATGGTGGGAAAAACTTGCAGGGTAAAGGTCTATCTGAGATGCCTGAGCCATCACCGTATTGATTTCCAATCCTTCCAAAAACATTTTGGCTCAAATATTGAAGAAAATATTTGCTAATAAAGAAGACCTGTTTGCATCCATTGGATGTGTTACAGAGTAACAGCTCCTTTACGCTAGAACACAGACAGTTACACATAATGGGGGGAATTTATCAACACTGGAGCAGACAAAATCAGGTGCGGCTGTGCATGGCAACGAATCCGCTTCCATCTCCAGTTCAGTTAAGATTTGAAAATGAAAGGGAGAAGCTGATTGGTTGCCATGCACAGCTGCTCCAGATTTTGTCTGCTCCAGTTTTGATAAATTCCACTCAATGTTTTGCAAGGGTTTCAAATACTTAAAGCACATCTCCAGACAAATCATAAAACAACCCAAGCAGTGGTTCTTGTTTTATGCCTAGGGGACAGAAGCATAGCACTTTTTTATTTACCGACCCCTGCTCTCCCAGGGGTCAGTGCTCATCTCTCTCCTCTCTAGCTTGTGAACTGTCCCCCGGCATGCTCATGTCTAATGCAGGTGTATGAAATCAGCATTAGACATGACATTACCTGTCCTTAGACCTCTGGAGCAAAGGGGAGAAGAGACTGTGAGGAGGGAACGGTGATCAGGTAAGTTTAATACATTTTTTTTCCTGTTCGTTAATCATATATGAGCACTTAAAAGAGAACTATGGGGTAAGTGTTTTTCCCCATCGTTCTCTTAAGGGTCACGGGAGGACATATACTAGCGTCCTCCCGTGACCCAAAGCTCAGGATATCACGAGATCCACCCAGCTGCATGAGTGACAGCGGGCTCTGCCATCTAGAAGCAGAGCCATCTGTACCCGCTCCTCACCTGTCCATTCCTCCAGTCAGCGCTGGAGGATCGGGGAAGGGGGGAATCCCTGCAGGGAGCAGTGACTGACGGTCACCACTCTGTGCAGGGAGATGATCGAGAAGTGAGCAAGCGACAGTATGTGTTCGCTCACTTCCTGATCAATTGAGCTGACTTGACCGTTTCATTGTCACATGCCAGCTCGAAATATGAGGATGAGTGATTTTCACTCACCTCATAGTTCTCCTTTAACCTTTGCAGAGGGGGTATCCCCACTGCAAGGGGATTTTTTTGGTTTGTGGTTTGTCTGGAGATGGGTTTTAAGTCGCTTTCAGGGCAAATTAGTCTTTAGGCACCTGACATACGAGAGATTATGTCACTGGCAGCAACTCAGTAGTGGCAGAAACCCCTAAAAGTCCACTCAACTTCTCCTGTAGTGTCACTCCCTTGTTGGCTAAACTAGTGGGATGTCACCCTGTCATTGCGACATCCCTGGTCCTTGTTTTCAGCAATGTTTCAGCCTGCAAGGGTCCACCTTCTATTTGAAAAACTGTTAAATGCGTCTGTCATTCTGTATATCATGTAGTTTGATGCAATGATTTATAAACCCTTCTTTTTTTCTTCTTTTTTTTTTTATGACTGGTAATCATTATTAAA